ATCATATAATTTTCATAATATTTTTAAATAAATGTTATTTTTTTAATATACGTTTTTACTTACTGTGATCGCGCCTAACATAATTAAAGTATAATGTTCGATTCCCAGGATTGACGTCATTAACTTCAAATCTCTCTCAACAGTAAAGGGCACTGCAATTATTATTTATCATTTTTACAATTTATTGACTTCTTGACTACTAATGTTCAGTTAAAAACTTTTTCGATTATTGAAATACTATAATATCTTTGAAATACTATCTAATAATTCAATAATTATTACCTTCTTGATTCCTATGGCGTGATGATATCCTAGGAATTTTATAATTTATTGTGCGTATTATGTCAAAAGCCGTGACTACCTGACGAAATTTTTTATTAATAGTACGTAGCACTTAAATGTTCATTTATTTTTTTTATCTAATATATGTATTTAAATTAACAAGATGGGAATATTACGATAGACTAACGGTCCCAATGAGGCCCAGAATAATCACATATAATGAGCTACCCATTACATAATTATTGCACAAAAAACAGGCTATTCGTCTGATTTTCTGCAAAATAAAACTAGTATTATTACAATAAAAATAATTGTTTTCGAAAATTGTAAGAAACATTTAATTACTAAGTGTCCACTATGGACTCTAAAGTTTCGTCGACTGTGAAAGGCCATAATTCACTTTATATCCCAATTTTTTGAGTCTGGAAAAATTGTGTTCCTTTTTTAAATTAAAATGCAAATTCAAAAAAGCAAATATGTTAAATAGTTTAAACGTTCCGTTTAATAACGGATATAGTTTCAACTAATTTCATTATATTGCACATTTACTTTCCGAAAATTTTAGAGGTTTGTTTTTTGCTCTATGAAATTGCACCTTCATGCATTTTCAATATATCGCAATTTAACATGAGTTATAAATTAATATATGAACTGAACATATTTAATGTAATCAATTATTCCAAGCAAATTAATATAATTGGATCAAACACACTCGATATAATTTTAACAACATAAATTTAACAACTGAAAAACAAATTTTTGACAGGATTATTTCACACGAGATATTTATCGTACAAATACATAAATTGTGTAAATGATATGTAACGTGTTAATAAAAATAGCTTATAGTTTTTTTAAAATCGATTCCGATCGATTTACGTAGAATCACAAACGAAGTCAATAACGCGAAGTTTTGCAACTATAACAAAATAACATATTATGTAATTCTATTTTTTTCTTTTTATCATCGTTACATTATATTGATTAATTGGTTTTCACAATACTTTTTAATCTTTATCTCGTTATATCGTTTTGCAAATTTATCAGTTTGCTACGTAATTTCTATATTCTTTGTTACATATATATGCTATTTATTATTTAAAAAATAATATATGCCATAATTAACATAATGTATGTGCATTTTAAGTATACTAATACATTTGGCTGATAAAAACAAATTTATCAATCATTTATGTGACCTATCAAATACAATGGATCAATCAAATCGCGTTCAAACTATTCATGAAGATTATCTAAAAAGAATGAAAGAACTTCAAACAAAAACGGTACATTAATATAATATTGTAGTATTTACATACATTATAATAATAATAATATTTATTTTTTAGTTGCTTATGTATGGCCCACGCTTAAGGCATGGAACATACATATAATACACAAAATATCTACTTTATAGATAGAAATATAATTATACGTGGACAGTTTGATAAGTCAGTTATTTTAAAAGAAGACTATGTTAAAAAATAAATCAAATAAAAAAAAAGTTTAAAAAAGTTAAAAAAAATTATTCCTTCACCAAATTGTCCTCGAACATAATAAGTTCTTCATATTTTTTTTAATAAGATGAATTCAGTATACTTCCATTATTATTAAATTTTTTGAAAAACGAATTCTTTTTCACGATTTTGTTTATCTTTTTGCAGCTAACTGAAGCTAAAATATCACCTCATTTATTTAAGACTCATTCCCAAGTAATTGAGAAAGATGAGAAATCGCTGAAAAAGAAAACGTTTTTTTACTATGAAGGTTTCAAGATAGTCAGAGCAATGTCGTTGGCATTATTGATATTGATTTTGTGCTATTACGGATCAACGGAATACAATGTTTTACAGAATGGGCAGATTCTTCGCGGTTTCCCCTCCAGAAAGGCCGTTTTGACATTTAGTTTCGGCTATTCCATCTCACGCACTATATTATCTGTAGTTACAGTTAGCATGCTTATTTATTCCATTTTAATGGTAAACAAAATTATTATCAACTGATATATCTAACTTTTTATATACTTTTCTATGCTTCAGTTTCATTTTATAAATCTTGATTACATTTTAGAAGCAGCCGCAACTTAGTTTGCCTTTCATAGGCTTCTTTTTAGCCGAGTTGGTATGCGATTTCTGTGATGTGATCATAATGATCTGGTATTTCTTCGAACACCTTCAAATACAAACTGCATTAATTTATACTGCAGGACTTTTTCTGTTGCTCTGTAAATATTTTTATCCGTCTTTCATTTTTTTATGGAGAAACGATTATTACAAACAGAAATCTGATACATATACGGATTGTCCCATAATTCATCCGAAAATGCTCGTAGGCAGACAGAGAGAACTAAAACGAGTCCGCTGCAAAAACTGCAAAAGACAAAAATTATTTATTTTCTTCTTTTAGAACTCTAAGAATTTTTTTAGAATTTTTTATCACCTTTTTAATACTGCATTTTCTTATTTTTAATTTTAAAAAATACGAAATGATGACGAAAATATGTTAAAAAATTCTAAAAAATTCTCAGAACTTTATAAGAAAAAAATAAACAATTTTATTTTTTACAATTTTTCAGTTTGTGAAGTTGGTATTTGAGAGAAAAATTATTGAAGACCAATATTTGACAATTTTTAGTAATTAAGATCTTGTCTGTGTGCAACTATTGTGAAAATTACAAAATGATAAAGGACTTTTCGACTCAGTTTAATCCGCTCTACCTGCCCATGAGCATTGTTGAGTGAATTACGGGACACCCTGTACGTATCTCTTTTGTTCACAATAAAATAGACAAGTTATCATTATAATAATAATCAAATATATATAGAAATAATTTAAATCAAAATAGAACTTTTATTAAAATCTTTATATTCTCTCTCTCTCTCTCTCTCTCTCTCTCAAACTATTTCAGAAATTTAAAAAATATTATATGAAAAAGTGTCATATATTTAAAATCTGTCTCATTTATTTATTATTTATTTTATATAGTTTATTTTATATAGTTTATTGTCATCTTTTTATTTATTTTCATATAATAAATACTTACATATACGTCAATTTTTTTATATTTATATAGTGGCAGAAGTATGGACATGGCTGGATATTGTGTGGCTCTATGAACATCGAAACTTCAAAATATATTGAACAATGATGATAAATATCAAGAATAATGAAAATCGAAAAAAATGTAAATTTCTCATTATTCTCCGAATTTCGTATTCTTATATTGTATACACGTTTTTCTCATAAATCTTTTCAAACAAATCATACATATGTTGATTCTTAAAAATATGTTTATTTCCAAAATATATAATTTTTTAATTTCGTAATAGAATTCATTTTTCATGTCATCAAAATATAATCATTGTAGATGTTTTTATTAATTCTTTATTTTTATATTTATGTTTCGGAAAGATTATATTAAATTCTATGAAAAATGAAAATTATATCTTCTATGACTTATATAACTAAGTATTTGGATTATATTGTAAGTTCCCAAGATTTTCCAGACTTATACACCGTAGGACAATCAAAAGCGTTGACCGAACAGTGCGATTTTAAATCAAGTACTCGCACCTCGGCACAATTATCAATCCTAAAAAGAGTTCACGAATATATATGACAACATTCTGTATACCTCATAAGTAGAGAAAAACCTCCTATTATAAGATAGGCTATAAGATAGGCCTAATATGAGATAGCGGTGTTTTCACTAAACTAGTAAACGCTCTATTAGTTCCACCACGAATTTATTGTTTCTTGGATTGAAAACTTTATTGGAAAATTCATTATTAGATCGTGCCTGTAGTAGTTGCAAAAAAAGATTTTAGAATTTGGATGTCTTCAAAGTTTCGTTGAGATAAGCTTTTAAACCTTGTTTATTATTTAATAAGAAGTAAATATGTTTTTTTTAACAAATTCTTCATGTAATGATAAAGTAAGATCATACTAATAAAAAAATACGATAAGTTGAATTGCTTAATTACAGAAGTTAGATTTGATGATTGTAAAACCATAAAGCATAGAAATCATAATATGAGATACCCAGGGTATTTCTAATATGAAATAATCTATAGTCCTATGTCATAGTGAAAATCATTGTTAAAGTATAAATGTTATTGTATAATAAAAAGAACAATCGTAATAAACATCAAGTGCCTTTCAATGCTTGGTTCCAACTACCTGAAAACGAGTTAATTAAATACAATGTATCGCATACTTATTTTGCACGTGCATTGGCTGTGTTTATTTGTATTTTAGAAACATTAAATAAAATTTTTTAATTTAATACTGACGTACTTTGCGTTTTATTATCGATTTCTCGGGACATTTCATATTAGGAGCACAATTTTTTGACTTTGCGATTTGCTCACTTTTTACATTCCTTTAATTTATAAAAAAAAAATTTGAATTAAATTTTACACAATTTTAACATTCTTAAATCTTATTAAATTCCCTTCAAAATGATCTATTATTTTTTTAAATTCTGTTCATAGATTTCTAGCATTTACCCAAAATAAACTCGGTATCTCATAATAGGGGCCTTTTCTCTATATGTATACCTCGGACAAAATTTGTCCAATGCATCCTTTAAACTATAAATTTGCGTTGTATTCTTGGATATTTCCTGTATTAGAAAACCTAGAAATGCTTGACAATGCACATCTGTCGCTTGTAAATCGATCGTTGGATCGATCGTAACTAATTTGTCTGGCATGCAATCTCGTTTTCCCATTTTACTATAAAAATAAAACAGAAGTATTGAAAATAGTATTAATTATTTATTTTTAAGTATTTACCTACTTACTTCCATCGTGATTTATTGACGACTGATAAATTACAATATGCGCTGGGATGCATTGCAACTCCAGGGAAGTTCCAAAGCAGATACGCTCTCGCCGCCATCAACAACAATTCATTATTCAAATCTTTTGCAATATGCGATAATTCTGTTCTAACAAATATAAATATAATATTAAACTATAATTTTATTGACAAATTGAAATAAACAAAAAAAACAATTCAATTTTAAATAGACAAAAAAAATTCGTAGTGATAATATTATGTGACATTTTATATCA